TTTAAATGACGAAGAAACAGAATTCGGTGAACAAGTAAAAAAAGCTGATAAAGCACTTGAAAATTTTCTGATACCCAATCTATCCGCGGCTCCTCATCCTGAAGCAATCTATTTCAGCAGACGATTTGGATCTCTAAATCAAAAAGATTCTGAAATGCATACTGATCACCTAAGTATATATATTTATATTATCCAGGACATTGCTATCTATATGATATTTGTATCCCTTCTACATAAAGATTCATGTTACATCATATTACATGATATTTAATTATGCAATATGATGAAATTGCTACCGACGTATGTACGTACATATCTTATAGACACAGATATCGCTATGCTCAGCGTTAATCTTATAGACCAACACGGCCATCTTTAAAATTAAAAATACCAGAGCACGGTAGAATTTTTCTGAAGACCCAAAAAATCTAGATTTAGGTGATGACTATCATATAAGCATTGTCTGTAAGTATATGTACGTATGTAGACTTTGCGGTGCTAAAGTGCGTAGGTGAATTTTGGTAATATCAATCAACGAACACTATCCTTAAGCACCACTTGTATCATGTGGCAATTAAAATGATCCTTTTATGTTGGAGGGGTAAAGTTGACTGACAATTTCCTTATTTAAATCAATAAAAATTATCATTCTAAAATACTTTCAATTATGCGACGTTAATTAAAAGGTAACCAAGACAAGCAAGAAAACAGCGGAAGCTTGCTAATTATGAACCCATTATTTGTGTCTCTGAATGATGCTGCTGAAAATGATGAAAATGATGAACGTGAATCATCTATTCATCGAGAATATCAAGAATACACTAATGAAGAGAATGCTGATAAAATAAATAGTCTTGGAAATTATTATCGAAATGGAATCGGGACTGAAAAAGATGAGCATAAAGCATATATTTACTATCAAATTTCTGCTAAGATGGGTATCAGAAAATTTTCAAGTGCTTTATCAGCTTTTTTTACTTGTTCACCGAATTCTGTTTCTTCGTCATTTAAA